AAATAACCTGGGTTTGAATTCTTTTTCAGGACAGAGAGATCAGTGCAGACCATTCAAGACAGAACACATTTCTATAAACAGACCAATTGGCACAACCCCCCCCCCCAATTCATTCTCTAACAGAAAAGCATTGCTCTTCTAGTTGCATAGGCAGCTCTGCAAGGAAAAAAATGACCAGAGCAACAACTCAATGCACATTTACTTGGGAGTAAGCTCCAGTGAACTGTCAAACCAGCTCCTTTCATGTAACCCCTGCCCCCCAAAGCTGCTTGGTTTTACACTGGAATACTTAGCCAGGCAATGCAGATGACTACCAGAATGTGCGAAAAGCTTAGCTGGAAGCCGGTGGTTAAATAAGGAAAGTACCCTGGGGTAGCTAGAGTGAACACGACATGGTGCCATGCTGTACAGTGCTGTCTCCACCCCCATCCAATTTTGGGGAACAGCCACCTGTGAATCAGGGAGACACAACGTTCTGAGTCATGGCTGGCAGCCATAATTTTGTGCCAACAGAGTGAAATATGTTACACCACACGACAGCCTACAGCTAGACAACAGGGTGCATAAGACAGGAAATTTGAATAAATAACAGCCAAGCAGCCAAGCTGACCCCAGATGGATAGCAGTTCATCATGCCAAGGGCCTGCCATCAATCATTTTGCTTATCCACCGAGCACTCTTCTAGCCTGCAGACAAGGCAAGGTAGCAAGTCACTGAGCTGCAGGGTGCCGTGTTCCCCATGCTTTCTTACCATATGGCTCAGCCATCCCCTTTGGCTCTTCCCCAGTGCTGAAGCTGGCTCCAAAGCCAGCAAACATCAGAAAGGCAGAGCAAGCACATTCTATAAGAGGTGACTGATAAGTTCTAAGGGACACAAGCCCTCTGCCAGGAGACTCAATTCAAATTCCAGTATCTTGAAAAAGATGGAACAAGTTCCAAGTGCTGATAGTTTTGTTTTTGGTATAACTCAGCAATTAAGCAGCCAAAAGTCAGGGACAAGCACTGCTGAAACTGGAGTGGCTTACAGCATACAATGCTCTTTATTTCTTGGGTGGCTCTGCATATATTATCAGGAGCAAATGGCTAGTATCCTTTTGCAGGCCAGAGGCATTTAACGAATAACCGTAGGTCACACTATGTTACTGGAATCAGATGGGCATTTAATTATTTAAACTGGGCACTCCTTCCTTACATGTTGTATGTTTTGTCTGAAAATAATACATTTAAAATCTTGGCACAGTGTCAGTGGAGATACGTTAATGGTACACGCTGGATTCAAGAGTGAGCAATTCAACTCTTCTGCAGGACCAGAGTTGTTTTGTATAAGGCCCACAAAAATTCTGCCATAGAATGTGGCCTCTGCTGCGGTCAGCAGCTACTAGACTTAGCACACTTCTGAAATCAATGCTACTGCCCATGAAAGTAGAGCTGTGCAACACACACACACACACACAGGTGCAGTGAGTTCCACACACTGGAAAATAATTTCCAGTGAAACATATTACTGTAGGCTAGCCATGTTTCATGCAAATGTGACACCCTATAGAGAGTTCTGGGATGTGAAATGAATGTTGTTGTGACACTAGAGTGCTAGATGAAATCTAAATATTGAGCCCTGCAGAATATTGAGCCTCAAGGTTATTGAACAGTTACGTACAGTCACAAGGTTATGAAGGAAATGTTAATTGCTGTCATAAAAATAAATAGGGAGAGACAAATTCCAGGCAACAGCAGCTTGCAGCAGTAGATGGTAAAGAATGTTTCTTTCCCAGGTAATTTACAGAACAGGATTTGCTCTTCCAATATTTTGCAGGAACAAATGTCAACATTCAGGTGACAGCACACATTTAGCTGAGGGAAGACAATGCTGGAAACATGATGAACAAATGTAACCGCTAATTCATGGCAAAGTAGGCATCTAACTCCTCCTTCCATCAAAACATAGGTAAGAGTTATCAACACAGATTGTGCTGACCAAAGCTAGCAATAAGAGACCATGGGATGTTGCCTGATGCTATAGTGCCAAGAACACAGACTGGGAGGCAGGCCCATGTTGCTTTTATGATCAAGGTTGAAAGAAACTTATCTCAGGTTAGATTGGCCAATGACCCAGGAAGTGTATTTCCCGAACTAGAGAAGATATGACTAGCTCCAATCAGATGCTTCTGTTATTTTAAAATGTTTATCAGGCAAACACCCCTGGCATAAGGGATCTTGGTTCCCCCTACTCTCTATTAGTGGCACTCTTGTGCCAATATATTAAATTCTTCTACATCATTTGCTAATCTATAAAATGGGGTGGTGGTGGTACAGATCCTTGTCTCTGAACCAGTGGTTGGTTTAAATAAATCAGAGGTTTTCCATACCAACACCATTATTGTACTGTGGTCAGAACATCTGAAAAATGGACCTCTTAATAATTAGGGGAAATTTGTCCCAAAATGCCGCCACACTTTTTTTTTTAAAAAAAGAAAATGTTATTAATTCTAGCCTCTTCCCTCCACCCAAACCAAATTTCTGACAGGATAAGATTTTTTTAAATCTTTGTTTTAAAATATTTTGTCTTTTTGGCCTCTGCTGCTCTGTGCAACTCCTTGCAACTTCAGCTCTTCCCTTCTCCTCCCCCACTAGAGTCTTGGAGGCAGCTGATGGTGGAGGAAGTTATAAACTAGCCCTTACAAAATTCATTCACCCAGATCTGTGCAAATTCTTAACCACAGGTTCCATTCCCAGTATGTCCCATTAGCACTAAACATTCCCTGCCTTTTGAGTCTGAGTCAGTGTTAGGTGGAAAAAAAGAGGAGCACATGAGGAGGAATAATAGAGAGGAGAGGCTACATCTATCACAAGTCGGGCCAGGTTTACTACTGAGAACAGGGGAGACCCCGTTATGCCATTGGGCATATTAATGCTAGATTCAGTTACAGCAAGATATTTCCTTTCCCTGTGAGCACTGCCAGCAGAAATCACTACTTCCTTTTCCCCACTCCCCTCCTACAAAGACCAAACCAGAACTGGGGGACAGCTGTGCTTAAAATATGACTGATTCTCCCTTGTCCATCCTAAAAGGTCTATCCACCTTAAGTCTGATGTGCTCCTTTAGTACAATAGTAAGGGAAGGCACAGGGGCTGATGAGAAATGCTGTAGCATATGGTATAACAAAAAAGAAGACACTTCCACTGAAGCCAACCTTGTAGAAGACCTTTCTCTAACTTATCCCTTGGCACAAGTACACATTGTAAAAGACGATACAGGTACAGAGAAATGGACAATGCCTTATAATCACAGGTGCAAATCAACCTGAGATGCTTTCAGCTGAACCAGGTGAACACAAAAGAACTGACAAATTCATAGCTGTATTAATCTATAGTAGGAAGCCCACGCTAAGGTACAAGGGGTTCTTAGAGGAAGCTGAAAATAAATTGGGTGCTAGAGGCCTAATAGGGGAGGAGGAGAAGAAATGAAAATAGAAAGATTGCCTGAAAATATAGCTATGACAAGTTACAGGTAAAGGTTCCCTTGCTCGAAAGCCAGTCGAATCCGACTCTAGGGTTGCGGTGCTCATCTCTGTTTCAAAGCCGAAGAGCCAGCGCTGTCCGAAGACGTTTCCATGGTCATGTGGCCGGCATGACTAAACACCAAGGCGCACGGAACGCTGTTACCTTCCCACCGAAGTGGTACCTATTTATCCACTTGCAATTTCTTGCTTTCGAACTGCTAGGTTGGCAGGAGCTGGAACTAGAGATGGGAGCTCACTCCATCATACGGCACCCGGGTCTCGAACTGCTGAACTACTGACCTTTCACAGCCTGCAGTTCAGCGTCTTAACCACTTGAGCCACCGCAGCTCCTATCTGACAAGTTATACAGGGCCCCAAAATATAAGGCCAGTCTGGGGAGGGGGGGAAAGTCTCCCCCCATTCTAGAATCTGTTTTACAATCAGAGTAGGAGATGGTATCATTCCAGATTAAAAGAGTTGGAGAGAATGGAAGGATTTAAGAGCCTCTAGAATTCATCACTGAAAATGATTTCATGTACCTTCTATTCAGCAGAGTTCAAGGTACTAATCTTCATTACAGAAGGGTAGCTGTGTTAGCTGTGTAGCAGCAAAATAAAAAAGAAGTTCAATGGCACTTTAAAGACAAACAAAATCTATTTCGGAATAATCTTTTGTGACTGATGTGAGCTCTGATTCTCAAAAGCCGGAATAAATTTTGTTCGTCTTTACGGTGCCACTAGACACCTATTTTATTTTAAGTTCTAAGCTTTTGATTGATAATTTGGTACTTAACATGAAGTTTCAATCTCAGTGACTCCAGTGCAGGGCCGTCTTCAAGGCAAACTTCAGCAGAGCAGAGGCAATGGCAACCTACGGGTACATCCCATCCTGAAGATAATGACAATGATAAATTAGTACTTACCATGAAGCTGCATTCTCAGCTATTGGAGGGTGGGGCAGTCTCCCATATAGTTTAGGACTCTCTCTGTCGGCTTCATTTGTTATTGTGGGATACCCAGCATGGTTAGGGGCAGGTTTAGTCAGTTTGTACTTGGCAGGATGTCTCATTGCTCTCCCCCCCCCGCCCTGCAGTTCTTCTGCGTGTCATTGTTTTTGTACTCGTTTCTGGCTTTTAGGGACTCTTCCAGACTCTGGTTCAGTCTGAGTTCTAAGGGGAAGCCTCTCCCCACATGCTGCTGCTCTGAGCAACCGCTCTGCCTGCAAACAAGGAGAAACGTCTTCCCACCATAATGCTGGCTTTTCATGTTTTTGATGCTTAATGTTTTTAACCTGGTGATTCATGTTTTTAACTTGAAGTTCCTAACTGGCTATAAAAATGTGTGTGTTTTTTAAATGCTTTGACGCCTAATTTCTCTAAATTTTCTGTAGATGGCAAGCCCTCTGAGGCAGGGACTACATCAGGTGTATGTTGGGTATAACACAGTGTTATCACTAAGGAAACATTCAATACTAATAATAATAGTTTATTATCCCTTCCCAAAAGAACACAAATACACTGCACAAAATCCCTTCCCACCCCTTTAATGAACTCTACGTGAATCTTACAGGTGCTGTTTCAGAAGTTTATAGCCTCTCCCCTAGAAAAGGGCTGCCTCTTGAATGCCTGGCCTCAGAGTTCACTACTGCCACGCTCTGGAGTCATCACTGGACTGGGGAAGGGCCTGGAGAGGACAATTTCCTATCAACCCAGAAAGATTATCTGTTTGTACATTAATCTCCTAAACGATCGAGAAAGGTCCCAGCCTTGCTCAGCCAATCCTGTTTTATCTGGTGGAAACAGTTCTATAATGGGAAAGGAAATACACAGGAAAGGAGCCACGTTCTTTCACTCCCCAGAACGGACCTCATCCTGCCAACACTGATATCTTCCTTCTGGGAGGAGCACTCCAAATGCACTGCCAACCTTTGATTTCCTAACAGAGTATGGAGACGTAAACTCTTCTATACACAATGAATTAACTGCCTTACTGTTCTTTTAAGTTAGAAAAACTGAATTCTGAAATGGCAAATATCTGAAGCTGTGGTTGGCCACCCATGTTAGGTGTCCTTAGTCACATTAATAGGTAGACATTGATATGGAACTGAATGTCCCAGTAATTACATATGCATAGCACAGATTTTCTCCTCCAAGCTCTCTTTCTCTTAAATGTGGCCAGAGTTGTAAGCCTGACAAATTAACTTCCTGACTCAAAGCAAAACTCTCTTATACCTACCTACCCAATAAAAACCTTTAGTATAGAATAGGAAAAGTAGAGTTTGGAAGGGAAGAATGAGCTAATCAGTAGCTTCAGTCAATGCAGAATTTTGTTTAGGCTGTGTAGATGTATAATCAAGATGACACTGACAAATGCATTTTTAAGTAGGAAGTACTCAGCCCCTGAAATCCAGGCAATCCAAGAAAAGGCACTCTCTCTACACAGAAACTATACAGTATACTCTTTGGAACCAGGAACAGCCCTAAGAGATACTGGCCTCTTTCCCATGGGTAGAGGTCAAGGATGAGATTATAGTATCAGCATTCTCCAATATACTTTGGTGGGAGCTCTTGGTCATCTTATCAACACCATGGAGATCCAAGAGTAGCAGGTCACTGGGGAGAAATCAAGAAAGCCTATTCAGTAGACCAGCCAATCTTCTGGGAACAGGGGAAAACGGCCCCATCTACAGACAGCAATTACATGAGCGGTAAAAGCATAGGACATTATTTCTTATTTCCTCTCCCCTCCCCAAATCACTAACACATACTAATATCCTTATCCCCTGAGCCTTAAGAACTGGGCAGTAGGAACACCAGGGACGAGTTAATAGAACCTCCAGAGACCAAGTGTTTTAAGGGCTTGACACTTGCAAAATCTCCCTATGAGTAGCTCTGGCAAGCATCATTCAGAGCAACAGGCATTAGCTCAGAGTGAAGGGGAGAACTCTCAGCTGTTATTTCCGATACCAGTTTGGGGTTAACTTTACACAAGTACAAGGACTGCAGACTCAGAATACCTCTGTTGGTGTTTGGGCTTCACAGCACGTGTATTCAGGACAGCAGGTCAGCCAGCCTACGCTTTATTGTCAAAGGCTTGGTTTCCCTGACACACCACTTTCTTTCTTCAGTCCTGTGCACAAGATCAGACAGATTCTAGAGAATCAGAAGGATGAGCAACTCTGTTCAACAGTGCTTTGCTCTAATTACCTGGGAGGGACTCTTAGCCCTGAATACCAGTGAACACGAGGAAGAGCAGTAAGTATAGAAACCCCCCCCCCCCATACTCCTCCAAGGGCAGTCCACAGCATTAGTTCTCTGTGCCCAGTCTTATGGGTCAAGTCCAAATCTTCCCTTGCTCTTGCTTGGCAAACACACACACGCACTAGGATTAGACCACTCCACAGCCAGGAGCTAGAGTCAATGCTGGGGAAGGGGCGCACTAACGCCAGGACTGGTCAGGAAGTATAGGTAGATAATTCAGCTTCAGGAGATGGTCGAAAACTCTTTCAGGAGGGCCTCCTGGCTGAGGGTGTTGAAGGCCAGATTTCGTCGCACATTGATGCTGATAGATCGAACCTGTGGGAGAGAGAACAGTCGTCACTACAGGTAATTGTGATACTGAACAGGCACTGAAGAAAACTCGAGACAGGCCCCCTTTTGCTGCAGGGAAGGTAGGTCTCAGAAGAAACCCCTGAGACAACGCTAAAAGTTTCAATTGTGGGAAAAGAGGCTTTGGTACTGAAGGTAGGTATGATTGCTGAAGGAGCTGCTGACCAAGTAAGAACTGCTGTTTCCCTGATACCGTAGCAGGGATTTATGCATTCTGAGCCAAATGTCCCCTTGTGGGTTCTGCAACAAATTATGAAAATGTTACAATTTTGCATTATTTACAGTGATTGCAATACTGGGGACTTTAGCAGACATACATACCCATGACTGCTGTAGTGAAGGGCAATGAAAAAGGAGGGAGGACTACAAATCATGGGTAGCAATTTAAAGGTACACAGGGTTACATGGAACAGACAGGAACATACACAAGTTTTCAAACCAACACCAGCTGAGGGCTGGAAACTTGGGGGGGGGGGTAGATATGTGAAAGGTAGATAAGGTGGACTTCCCCTGTTTTCTTTGCATTGAAGTATGGCTACATCTCTATGATGGATGCTAGGCATATTCAATGAATAAACCACAACAGAAGCCAGATTCCTCTGCTTCCAAATGTAGATCCTATAGGTGCAGGGACAGGTCCCTAAATGTGCCTAGGAGGTGCACTAAGTGCCATCAGCTGCTTCAGCAACATTCAGCACCAAAAGACAAAATGACAGTAAGGCCTTTGTAACCTGTTTAGTAGTTTATTAACCATCTGTCCCACATTACTTTCATTTACACCATTCAATACCATATTGATCATATTCCTTATCTGGAGGAGTTTATTGCTGAAATTATACTTCAACCAGCTGCCAAACGGAGAATTGTGCGGTCACATCCTAAACCCTGGGAAGTGAGCTAGAAGACATGGGGTTTAGAGAATTTATGGGGATCTGGGGGAATCTAAAGTACCACGTAAGAATGGGAAAACAATTGACTACGGCAAGGAAGACATTCCTCTCTCTGATGGTGCCCAAGAATCAGAAGCTCAGACCTCTTTAGCAGCTGACGCAAGTCCCTAGCCTTACATTCTCCTATTCCCTTTGCCAGAGATGCCTCTGACATGCTCTCTGAGAACATAAATAATGACAAAGAAGTGTGAGACCCCAGGCTGAAGAACAACTGTTCCTGAAGAAGGTAGGTTTGTGGGTCTTCAGGTCATGCACCATTTCTGAAGGTTGGCAGACAACTTGATCCAACTAGGAACTATGGGGTCAGCTAACTCCCTGCCTCCCCTCCACTGTTGGATCTCCACCAGTTTTAGTCCGTATTTGACTCACTACTGTTTGCTGCTCCTAGTTTGCCATCAAGCGGCTCCACCCAGCCCCAGGAGCTTTTCCAACCGAGACAAGACATGAAGTAGGCTGAATGAGTCGCTTTGGTCTGGGGAAGTAAATTCTGCACTCTAGAGTACTTTTAACCTTGTACAGGTATCCAAGCAGCCTGCAAGCAACAAAAGAGACTCTCACATGCCACTTTGACCTGACTGTGTGACATGAGATTGTGCCCTGGCATTCTCTGGGGAAGAGGCACAGTTTTTCTGAACTGAGAAGAAAAATGCTGTGATGGTGAAAGACAAGCTAAGTGGTTTTGTAAAAATAAAAATCCAAGAGAACGGATAGATTTGATTCCTCCCACTGCTTTGAGAGAGAACTCAGGGGACACACTGTAAATTTGCTGTAGCTTTCAGTAAGGGATTTTGGCTTGGAAAATGCTCCACCATAAAGTCTCCAGAGAAAGAGGGATTAAACCAACTGCATTTGTTTAATCACTAGATGTAGAATAATGAATAAAGCTTTTTTGTGTTGGGAGAGGGCCCATTTGGGCATTTCCTGTAGAAAACCTGAAAGGGGAGGAGATTACTGTTTGCATCGTACTTCATAATAGTGTCTATTAAACTACTAGTACTTAGGAGGACAGGTTTCAGAAAAACTATAATCCTAGCAAATTGGAAAAAGCAAATCTGCATTTTAATCAAGGGAAATGGGAAGTTCTTCAACAAGTGAACAACAATTATGCAACTATAAGGGGAGTGACAGTAGATAGGTGAGGAGGGAGACAGCAGCAGCATCTGTAGCTGGAGCAGAAAAAGGAGACATGGCTCAAATGGAGGTCTGCTTTCCACCTGGCTGCACAGGTGAGAACAAGTGTGACCCTCTGAATACTATGCTCAGGTTAGACCCCTATGTCTGCAATCCTATGGGCACTCTCCTGGGAGTAAGCCTCATTGAATAGGATGAAACTTACTCTGAGCAGACATGCTCAGGATTGTTCCCTATGACTTCTGTTTTCCCTCTTGAGACAAAAGAGAACAGAGTTAGGTAGTCAAGGCAGCCCATTGTACTTGCTGTGCAGGATCAGTTTGGGACACACATGATTTATGAGAGCGACATGTGCTGACTGAGCACTTCATATCCCTGAGGCACTGTCATGTGAAAGCCCCTTCACTTCAGTTATATCAGTGGAGCTGGTAGCAGTTGAAATCAGCACGAGAAGCCCCTGGATCTTGCAAAAGGCCTGCTGGGCAAGGAAAAGGAACCCTCAACCACACAAGCTCCAGTTATCTTCAGGAACAAGCCCCTGAAAGGGGTGCAAGGAACCTTGTGACAGGCGAAGGTAAAACTTCTCTGTTTTTAATTGCACCTGCTCAGCATCCCAGTGAAAATGACCTCATGGACAGCATACTAAACTATGCTGTTGTGCCCTTATCCCGATAAACATGCTTTAGGTGGGTAAAAAAGGCAGTTCAGGTTTTTAAGACAAGGCTTTTAAGCTCCTGGCAGGGAACTGAAACTCACGAGTTCTTTGAAGAAAGCAGCTTCTTTGTGTTGCTCTGAATAGCGTTCATATTGGTCTAGCCCATCCTGCAACTTGAGGGTCAGGGTGTCATAGTTGGAGCGCACCACTTCCAAAACCTGCACCACAAATACACAATGGGAAGGAAGAGTCAAGCTGCTGCAAAGCCTTCAACAAGCAGCAATGGAGCTACAGTGCCGAGAAGCCCAGGAACCACTCCTCCAAGGCTAATGACGATGATCTCAGTTCTTCCTGAAAATGGTCTGGGAGCAAAGAACGTTAAACTGTGGGATATATTTGTGAAAGGTATCTTGCAACTGCTATTCTAATTCTAAGCTGTGGCTCTCGGCATATGAGGATGGGTTTTCTATTCCCTCCCCTGCTTCCTTTTCCCAGACCCAGAGACATAAACTGTAAATATCTAGGTATGAAAACTGACAGCCGGAGAGAATTCCAAAGTACACAATTGATCCAGAGAATGTGTTCCAGCATGTTACCCCTCCAACAGTTAAAAACCTTCAAAAGGAAGGAAGTAAAATGAGCACATAGTGAGTACCAAGAAAGGCAAACTAGTGCTCCACAAGGAAGTACAACAGCACTGCAAAGCAGAGAAGCGGGACAGTTTGGACAGCTCCACACATCTTGTCCTGCCTTCTCCAGTTGCCCAGTGGCCAGCATTGTTATGTCAACTAGGAAACAAGGGAATGGCAACTTCAGACACACTCAGGTTTCTGGGTCTTGAGGTGTTTTGCCAAGTAGAGATTACTGAATGTGCTTCCTAGCATCTAGCAGATGCTCTCCACTGTCCCAATCCATGCTCTGCACAACCCAAAACAGGGAGATACAGGAGAATAAATAAATGTTGATGTGCTGCAAGGTCACTTCTTAATAGTTAGTCAGCAATCCTGCCACTGTCAGAGCAATGCTGCCTCCTCTGCAAACGGACTCCTTCCTTAATTCTGTTTCTCAGGTTTACTGGCAGTGAGGGGGGGGGGGGAATCCTCAGCAATAAAAGCTATCTACAAATTCATTAGGCCCTTTCCTTGCATATGTGCCAAAGCTGCAATGTGAATAACAAGCGTTTGAAAAGCAGTGACCTCAGGCACAGAGAGCAGGCCTGGGAGGAGGAATAATTCACTCCAGAATAATATACCCTACACCAGACAGTAAGATAGAAGGCTATTACCACAGCCCCCATGAGTCAAAATCCTGTCCTCTTGCCAGCTGCAGGGATCCAAGTCACCTACAATTAAGCACAGATAGGAGGTAAAATGTGCTTGAAAGGAAAGGAGGCTCTGAACAGGACATCCTCCTGACTGTGCATTTCAAGGTTATATAATAATATATAAAATGTTTCCTAAGGTCTGTTTTTTTGCTTTTGTTTTAAGTGCTAAACCCATGAGATGGTGAGAATGGAAGACTGCATACCTGAGCACCCAGGAATGTTTTCTTTTATACTAGCTATGCCACTTTTACATTGAATTACTCTTTTCTTTCTTTTTTAAAAAAATACACTCAGGCAGTTGTCTACTTCTGGAAACTCAACCACAGTCTCTTGTCATCACTGGGTAGGTACTTGAAAGCACACTGCAGACAGCTTCGGGCTGGAGCGCTGCCTCCGACCCAGATCAGCCGCCTCCTGCTGCACGGGGAACTTCATTTCTTCTTCCCCCCAGAAGCAAACAGACTGACATCCCCAGCCACCAGAGACTTTATGAAGGAGTCTTGAGCATTACAGTCCCTTCCACAAAAGCAGAAAAAGACTAGGCTCAACTGTCTCTGTTCGATCGGGTTGTTTTTTTAAAGGGTAAACAGATCTTCTTTCACTGTCTGAAATTGCTAAAGCCCCCATTTGCTGGCGGCAAAAGAGAGGCCAATTCGATTCGGGGAAACAGCTGCAAAGATCTAAAGCTAAGAATCTTGAAGGCAGCAGCTCCTCTACAGATCCAAGTGCCCTAATTCTTACTCTCCATTGAGGACCATTATTTATAACACTTTCGCCATCCTTATCGCGAGAAGTCTGGCATTTGCTGGAACCTGCCACTTTCCTACAAGCAACAGATGCAACTTATAATTTCTGAAGTTTGGAGACCTACACTGAGGCCACTCACAGCAGGGAGAACGGGCTTCTTGGATAAACCTGCTTTGTTCTTTGTTCAAATACAGCTTGCTCTAGATTGTCTTGGCAGCTATTTCCCCCCAAAATGCCAGCTCCTACCCTACTGCTTCCCTTCACTTATTAGGTCTGCAAGATTCAAGGGACTTAGTGAGGCAAACTGCCACTCTTCTGCTGTGAAATCCTTTATCTCTGAACAAACTGCCATTTACCTCATTGGTTTTACGCATTGCCACTTTCTCTGTACCTCGCTAAGTAGAAACAATATACTCCAGACGCAAGTGACAATTTGCTATAGAGTAAGCTGTCTGCGCAGGCAATGCACTACAGTTGCTATGGAGCAAATGCACGCTGCTAAGTAGCAATCACATAATAATCAAAGACCTTTAGTTACAGAGGAACAGGCTTGTTCATTCCAGTGGGATGGTGAGGATTCTCACAATTGTCTAACACACACAGGGACCTGGTAGCCATTTGCAAAGAAATCAAGAGTCTTGGAGGTAACACACACACCTGTCTTTCATCATTTCTCCAGTCTCTCTGATACAAACAGCTCCCCCCTCCCCAAAGCAAGGAAACAATTGTAGCTCTACAAATTGTGAAACTGCACACACAGGAGACAAAACAGAAGCATATTCTAGTGACTACACTGAGCCATGAAGGTTGTGCAATTACTGCATTGCAATTTTGCCTTTTCCTGGAATTCCCAATTTGAGCATGCAAAAATGATCATTCCTTAACTAGGCAGGGAGATGAGAGGCCAAAGATGCAGTTATTTTTGTTAATTCTGAAAGGAACAAAATAAACTGTCTCCTCTGACCATGAGTGCCACAGTGCAGGTTGGCTACCAAGATGGTTTGCATGAGAGCCAGTGTGATGTAATGGTTAAGAGTGTCAGACTATTATCTGGAAGACTTGGGTCCGAATCCCCATTCATGCCATGGAAGTTCACTGGGTGATGTTGAGCCAAGTCATACTCTCTCAGCCTAAGCTACCTCATAGGGTAGTTGTGAGGATAAAAGGGAGGAGAGGAGAATGATGTAAGCCACCTTGGGTCCCCACTGGGGAGAAAGGTGGGTTAAAAATGAATAAGTAAATACATAAATAATAATGCTCATTTAAGCATCAGTTCCCTCTGTATCCTTTTATCCTGACATAAGTCTTCATTAGAAGTGAACAACGTTAAGCTGCAGAAAAGTTATCCTTCTGCTTCAGCTGTTCTGCTGAAGAAAGTATCTGCGAAATATTCATCGGAAAAAGAAAGAAATTCTTGTTGCAAAAATAAATTATTTGAAAAATTTTACTTGTTGAAAAGACAAGGATTATAGCAGGGGACAAATACCTGTAATTTCTTCCTTCATCAATATGGTCTAAAGGTCAGCCTAGAGAGTGAAAACATGTCTGTGGTTGCAACAGACATTTCTACATGTCTCTCCACACTAATAAGCCTAATTAAGTCAAAGTTTGCCACAAAAATACACACAGTTTCACACTTAACATGCCAATATGTTACGCACAGAGATGTCTCCTGAGGCACTTAGCTGTTAATAGAATTCCTTCTTGTAACAGGAAGGATGTTACCATTTAGCCATGGAGCGGTTACAGAATCTTCACAATAAAGCAAGCGATTAATTGGAAAATTTTACAAGAGAATGTCCTAATTAATACAGAAAATGATAAAAAATGGTATCATTCTACAGACAACATCTTCAGAATTTGCTGACGCAGCTGGCATCTCCTCTGGAATTAATTCCCAGAAGCAGCAAAGACAAAGTATGTAGCAAAATTAATGAGATGTTAAATAAAAACAAAGCACTCAGCACTTTTTTTGTAACCACTTCTAGATTTCTTTCCAGAATATGACTAGACCACCTGCAATACCTACCTCAGAGATTCATTAGTAGTGCACCGCTCTTTCCAACCAACACCCAAACTCCTCACTCAGAATAAATTTCAAAATCAACTTAACAACAACATTCAGAGGTGTACTAAATATTTGGTCAAGGACCAGAAAGGGGACAAAGAAAGAGCGCGTAGGAGCACAGAAACTAGAAAAATCTGAGGACGGCCGGGGAATTGTTCACCCTCGAGACATTCCACACAACCAAGCCACGTGGTTCAGACAGGGAAGTCTAGCCCATAGCTACAGTGGGGCTATTGGGGGCTCTGCCCCCTCCCATAAAGAGCCAGTCCCAGGAGATTTTTTTTGAGAAGATATTTTGAGAAGAATGGGACCCCGCTTCTTCTCAAAAGCATATAAAGGGATCCTTTAAATGCTCTTGAGAAGAAGCGGGGGATAGTGCATGCACCTCTCCATTTCCTCCTGCAGGATTTAAAGGGCTCTCCAACTGACTGGCGGGCCACGTGCTCCCCACCAATCAGCTGAAGGGCCCTTTAAATCTTGCAGGAGGGGATGGGGAGGGGTGGCCACTGGCGGTCAGGCATGGGGGTGGACTGGGGCTGACGTAAAAATAATGGCAGCCCCACCAGCAAAATTTTTGCCTCACAAGCCACAAAATCCTGGCTATGGGCCTGATGGAGGTGGCAACTGAAAGCCTCACCACATCTAAAGCTCTTTAGATACAGTTCACGTAAAGCAGCATTACAATGAATCAGACCCCTGGGACTCTACCAAGGTCACTATTTTCTACTCTATCAACGGCTCTCTAGAGCCTCAGTCTTTCATCTTATCTACCACCTGAGCCTTTTAAGCAGATACCAAAGCCTGAACCTGGGACCTTTTACATGCAAGGCAGCTGCTTTACCACTGAGCCGCTGCCCCAGAGTATCAGATTTTATGCTCAGTTGACCAAAGAACAATGAGTTCAAGCAGGACAAAAAGTGGTGAAGCGATTCTCTCCCTTGTTTTGACTCATGCATTGGCTTAGAGATAAATTACAACAACTAGAAAAGCTCTTTCAGGATCCTGGGATTATTTATTTATATTTTATTTTTTGTTATTTATTTTTGATGTCTATTTTTTTGTTATTTGATCTACAGACT